TAGGCATAAAGAAAAAAGCTTATTAATGCCTCACACCCTCAAGAGGAAGGCTAGCTTTGGCTGAGCTGCTATTTGGCACTTCTCCAGGGCAGCTAGCTTTCAATTGCCCTATTTTGGGGAAGAAGAAAGTGGGCTTTGGGCGTAGAGCATCAAGGCTTTGCGTGACAGCACAGCTGGGCCACCTTTGGGACAAAAAATGCAAACCACAGTCTTGGCTGACAAGTCAGAGAACCCAGCCATGGAGGGAAGGGTCTCTTATTTAAACAACCTGCAGTCCCTGGGTTAAGGGCCTTGAAAAGGCTGATAAGAGCAAGGGAGGGACCAAGGCTTTGGGCCCCCTACACCAGTGGTCGGCAAACTGCAGCTCGCGAGCCACATGCGGCTCTTTGGCCCCTTGAGTGTGGCTCTTCCACAAAATACCACATGTGGGCGCGCATGTACAGTGCGATTGAAACTTCGTGGCCCATGCGCAGAAGTCGGTACTTTGTGGAAGAGCCACACTCAAGGGGCCAAAGAGCCGCATGTGGCTCGCGAGCCGCAGTTTGCCGACCACTGCCCTACACCTTTTTCTAGATGCCAAAGTCAGTTCCCCACAGTCCTTCCTTTCTCTCCAAACACTCCCAGGGACGGAAGAAAGTAGAGGTTTCAGGAAGCAAACTCAGAGCCTACAAATCCCTTCCACCTTATTCTCACCTTTATTCATCCAAGTTGAGCCATGCTAGGCTACTCTCTGTTCGTCCAACTTGCCAAACTCGTTCCTACCCCAAGGACTTTGCTGTTCTCACTGCCAGGCACTTGTTTTTTACAACTATTTGCATGGCTGGCTCCTTTTCATCCTTCAAGTCGCAGGTCAATGTCACCTCCTCAGACAAGCCCTTACTGATCCCGCTAAGGTGCTCCTCCCACCACACATATAGCGCAGTGTCCTGACCTTATTCATAGCATTATCAAGTTTCTTTGTGACTCTACCTATCACCTTTGATACATACTATTTATTTCTAGTCTGTCTCCCCCTACCAGGCTTTGCACTCAAGGAAGGCAGGAACAGGGTCTGTCTTGTCTTCTGTCCTTGAAGCTTAAAACAGTGCTTGGCACAGAGTAGAAGCTCTATAAATATTTGCTGAATGAATACATGAAACATTATTTCTAATCGGGTTAATGAAATGACGATTATCTTCTTGAGGGTTCACCAGGATGATATGCTGTACTCTGCTATAGAGTTGTCTGCATCAGAGATATTCATGGAGTACCAGACCAGCAATTTTCCAAAGCAGAACCTAACACAATAGTAATTACAACATAGTAGCACAGCTAATATTTAATGTAGCGGTCGCCAACCGGTAGTCCACAGACCACTCGTGGCTGGTCAGTGAGGTCCGAAAGGTTGGTGACCGCTGGTTTAAGGAAACCTTTGGAGCAGCGTTCACCATCTGGTGGTCCGTGAGGTCCAAAAGGTTGGCAACTGCTGATTTAATGCACATTTATTAAGTGCCAAGAACCGTGTAAGAGGTTTTACTAGTTCAAAGCTCATAAACAAGCCTGATGCAGAAACTTGATCTTTTCTTCATTTTGCAGAGATGGACATCAAGGCTGGGAAAACATATGTCACTTGCCCAAGGTCAAACTACAGCACTTTAGTAAGGATGCATTACAGTGTAGGACCCTTAACCACTGCGCTGCCTCACCCAGCACAGGACTCGTGGCAGTGGTCCATGAGACTGCAACAGCAGGACATATCTGGGAAAGTGACTCATTGTTCTCAGGAGATTCACCCAGCTGTGTCTTTCTTCCAACTTCTTCCACAAAGAACACACAGTTCCTCACAAATCCAAAAGTTCTCATTCTAATCAGATCTGTACTATGCAAGTTTGCTGATCAGGGTTGATTTTACAACTCCATATCAGTGCTGAGCAACCATTTTTGACTGAAATCACTGGTTCTCAGGCTCAGGGGTTGAACTTCATCTCCCCTGGAATTGAACCTCTCTCTCTTCATACTTGAAGCAAAGGTTCAATTACTCTTCAAGTCAAAACTACCACATCACACCTTAGAGCAGCGGTTCTCAACCTATGGGTCATGACCCCTTTGGGGGTCGAACGACCCTTTCACAGGGGTCACCTAAGACCATTGGAAAACACATATATAATTTCATATTGTTTTTGTGATTAATCACTATGCTTTAATTATGTTCAATTTATAACAATGAAAATACATCCTGCATATCAGATATTTACATTACGATTCATAACAGTAGCAAAATTACAGTTATGAAGTAGCAACGAAAATAATTTTATGGTTGGGGGTCACCACAACATGAGGAACTGTATTAAAGGGTCGCGGCATTAGGAACCACTGCCTTAGAGCAACAATTGACTCCTATACTTATTACCCGTGTTCCCAAGTATAGGAGTCAATTGTTGCTCTAAGGCAGTGGTTCCTAATGCCGCGATCCTTTAATACAGTTCCTCATGTTGTGGTGACCCCCAACCATAAAATTATGGTCCCCTTCCCTTCCCTTCCCTTCCACCTTCCCTTCCCTTCCCTTCCTTTCTTTCCTTCCCTCACTGCCTCACTCCCTCCCTCCCTTCCTTTCTGCACCCCCCTCTCTTTTTCTTTCTTGTCTCTTTCCTTATTATTTATTTTTTCTCCTTTAAGGGGATTCTTTTTTTTTTTTAACTCCAACTCATTTAACCCTCACAACCACCCCGTAGAATAGCTCCTATTATTATCCCCACTTCACATATGAGAAAACTGATGTTTTGAGAGGTGCTATCCCTTACCTAAGGTTACCTATTAAGTAAGTAGCAGAGTAGCCCCAACCTGTGGCTCCAGAGTCTTCTTTTAATCACCAGCCTCTGCTGCCTCTCTAACCCTGATTTGACATCTGCTCAGAAGATATTGTAAGTAAGTCTATTTAGCTGTTTATGGTACCACATGAGTCATTCATTCATATTTTAAAAACCGATTGCATGGTCACGACTGGGCTGAGGGAAGTGGATGCAAGGCCCCTGGTCTCCAAATGTTTGGCTTAGGGAACTAATAAGTAAAAAGGCAATGGTGAGAAATTTGAAACTTTCCCTCTAAGAACAGGAACAAGCAAGGATGTCCTCTCTCAGTACTGCATTCCAACATCATAGTGATTTTCAACCTTTTTCATCTCATGGCACACATAAACTACTAAAATTCTATGGCACACCAAAAAAAAATATTTTTTTTTGCCGAATTGACAAAAAAAAAGGTATAATTTTTATTCATTTACACCAGACAGCTATTGTTGCATTGGCTGTTGTCATTTTTTAAATTTGACAATCTAAGAGAAAAGAGGGCAGTGCCCTCTTTAAAAAAAAATTCTTGTAGCACATGGTTGAAAATTGCTGCAACATTGTATTGGAAGTCCTAGTTAACTCAATAAACAAAACAAAACAAAAAGGAAAAATAAGGTATACAGATTGGGAGAGAAGAAATATAGCTGTCTTTGTTCGCAGATGACATGATCACTTATGTAGAAAATCCTAAAGACTTGAAAACAATAAACTCCTGCAACTAATAAGCATTTATAGGCTCTGGCTGAGTAACTCAGTTGGTTAGAGTTGTCCCACTATGCCAAGGTTGCGGGTTCAATCTCCAGTAGGGCACATACCAGAAGCAACCAATGAATGCATAAGTGAAATAACAAATTGATGTTTCTCTGTATCTCCCCACCCCTCAAAATCTATAAATAAAGATAAAATAAGCACTTACGGCAAGATTGTAAAATACAGGTTAATAATCAAAAGTCAATAATGTTCCTATATACCAACAATGAATAAGTGGAATTTGAAATTAAAAACACAAAACCATGTACCTTAACACCCTCCAAAATGAAATATTTAGGTATAAATCTAACAAAATATGTATAAGAGTTATATGAGCACCTAGCTGGTGTGGCTCAGTGGTTGACCTATGAATCAGGAAGTTATGGTTAGATTTCCAGTAGGGACATATGCCTGGGTTCTGGGCTTGATCCCAATGTGGGGCATGCAGAAGGCTGCCAATCAATGATTCTCTCTCTGGAATCAATTAAAAAAATTTTAAAGAGTTATATGAACAAACTATAAAACTATGATGAAAGATATCAAAGAAAAACTAAATAAATGGAAAGACATTCCATGTTCAAAAATAGTAAGATTCGACATTTTCAAAATATGAATTCTTCCCAACTTGATCTACAGATTCAAGACAATCCCAGTGAAACTCACAGCAAGTTATTTTAAGAGGAAAAAGACCCAGAATAGTCAACACAATATTAAAGGAGGACAGTCAGAGGACTGACACTACCTGACTTCAAGACTTACTATAAAGCTACAGTAATCAAGTATTAATGAAAGAATGAGCAAATAGAACACTGGAACAGAATAAAAAGCCCAGAAGCAGATACACATAAATATAGTCAATTCTTCTTTGACTGAGAAGCAAAGGCAATACTAATGAAGCAAATTAATCTTTTCAACAAATGGTGTTGGAACAAGTGGACATCTATGTACAAAAAAAATGAATCTGGACATAGACCTTACATCTTTCACAAAAGTTAACTCAAAATGTTTCGTAGTCCTAAATGTAAAGTGGAAAACTAAAAAACTAGATGATAACATGGGAGAAAACCTAGATGACCTTGGGCAGAGCTATGACTCCATGAAAGAAAGAATTGATAAGTAGACTTCATTAAAATTAAGAACTACTCTGTGAAAGACAATGTCAAGAGAATGAGAAAACAAACTACAGGCTGGAAGAAAATATTTGCAAAAGACACATCTGATAAAGGACTGTTATCCAAAATATCCAAAGAACTCTTTAATTTAACAAGGAAAAAAACAATCCAATTTAAAAATGGGCCAAAGACATTAACCAACATCTCACCGAAAAAGATATACAGATGGCAAATAAGCATATGAAAAGATGCTCCACATCATACTTCATCAGGAAAATGCAAATTAAAACATTAATGAGCTACCACTACCCACCTTTTAGAATGCCCCAAATCCAGAACACTGACAACACCAAATGCTGACGAGGAGGTGGAGCAACTGGAACTCTCATTCACTGCTGGTGGGAATGCCAAATGGTACAGAAACTCTGGAAGAAAGTTTGACAATTTCTTACAAGCCTAAACATACTCATGCTATGATCCAGCACAAAAACCTGCACACAGATGTTGATAGCAGCTTTATTCGTAATTGCCAAAACTTGGAAGCAACCAAGATGTCATTCAGTAGGTGAATGGATAAACTGTGGTGCATTCCAACAAAGAAAGGAAATGAGCTTTCAAGCCATGAAATGACATGGTGGAACCTTAAATGTTTATCACTAAGTGAAAGAAGCCAATCTAAAAAAACTACAAAGTGTATCTTTACATATTCTTGAAAAGATAAAACTTTGGAGACAGTAAGAAGATTGGTGGCTGCCAGGAGTTGAGGGGAAGAGGGATGAATACGTGGAGCACACAGGATTTTTAGGGCAGTGAAAATATTCTGTATGATACCATAATGGTGGATACATGTCAATATACATTTGTCCAAACTTATAGAATGTACAACATCAAGAGTGAGTTGCAATGTAAACTATAAACTCCGGGCGATAACGATGTGTCAACTCAGGTTAATCAATTGTAATAAATGTACCACTGTGGTGGTGGATGTTAATAATGGGGGAGGCAGAGGCGGGCTAGAAGAGGTTAATGGGGGGGGAAATGGGGATATATGTAATACTTTAAACAATAAAGATTTAAAAAATAATGGGGGAGGCTATGCATTAGTGGGGATATATGGGGAATCTCTATAACTTCCCTTCAATTTTGCTATGAACTTAAAATTACTCTAAAAAGTGAAGCTGTTTTTTTTTTATTTTTTAAAAGCAGGCTAACAAAATAAGACACCAATGAAAAGGCTCATATTATACTGAAATAACAAATATTCATAATTTAAAAAATTGAACTTTATGTAAAATAAGGGTTTTTAAAAAATTTAGACTCCCCCTCATTCCCCACATCTGTAATGGGTCTAACAAAGATTTGAGAGGATTCCATGAGTTATCCCAACTACCTGCAATGGCTGGCACATGGTGAGTGCCCAATAAATGTTACATATTACATGTATACCTTGGTTTTTTAATCCTCACCAGAGGACATTTTTTCCATTGATTTTCAGACAGAGTGGAAGGGAGGGAGGAAGGGGGAAAGGGGTAAAAGAGAAAGGGAGGGAAGTGGGAGAGAGAAAGAGAGAGGAAGGGAAAGAGAGGTAGAGAGAGAGTGAGGAACATCCATGAGAGAGAGACACATAGATTGGTTGCCTCCCGCACATACCCAGAATCAAACCCATGACACTTCGGTCTATGAGTCTACACCAGCGGTTCTCAACCTGTGGGTCGCGACCCCTTTGGGGGTCAAACGACCCTTTCACAGGGGTCGCCTAAGACCATCGGAAAACACACATATAATTACATATTGTTTTTGTGATTAATCACTATGCTTTAATTATGTTCAATTTGTAACAATGAAATTGGGGGTCACCACAACATGAGGAACTGTATTAAAGGGTCGTGGCATTAGGAAGGTTGAGAACCACTGGTCTACACCATAACCACTGAACAACACTGGCCAGCCAGGTATACCTTGTTTTATTGTGCTTCACTTTACTGCATTTCACAGTTGTTACTTTTCTTACAAATTGAAGGCAAGACCCTCCATCAGCACCATTAGGAATTAGCTTTACTGTGGTGATCTGGAACCAAACCCGAAATATTTCCAAGGGATGGTTTATTGTTTCTAGCACCCTGGACAGCATCTGACACAAAGTAGGCACTTGCTGGCCCTAGGGGATCCAGCCACCTTCAGAAAGAAGCCAGTCTAAGGGAGGAAAGGACCTGGAAGGCCTTGGCAGCCAATGGGATTATTCAATAGGCAGGCAAGCAGGTAAACAAACCTGCCTGAAGAAACCAGTTCTGCAACCTTCCTCTGGCTGCTCTAGGCCCAGGTCCCAGAGCCTGTCTCAAAACTTTGATCTAGGACAGTGATGGCGAACCAATGACATGCGTGTCAGAGGTGACACGCGAACTCATTTTTTGGTTGATTTTTCTTTGTTAAATGGCATTTAAATATATAAAATAAATATCAAAAATATAAGTCTTTGTTTTACTATGGTTGCAAATATCAAAAAATTTCTATATGTGACACGGCACCAGAGTTAAGTTAGGGTTTTTCAAAATGCTGACACGCCGAGCTCAAAAGGTTCGCCATCACTGATCTAGGAGGTTTAATTGTTTCCCATTTAGATACAATTCAAAAGACTTTAGAGCTGTGTCCCTCACAAGCTTGCTTCCAGCACTTCAGGTTGGTGGCCAGTTGCTTTGCCACATTCCATGGGTCACTTCCTACAAATGCTGAGAGGAGAGCCCCTTGTGATGGCTAGATTGGTAAATGGATTTGTGTGCTTGCAAATATTTACTGAACACGCCTGTGATCATATTTTTGTTCTACTAGGAGAGACAATTGGGAAAATTTTTGATTTCCCAGCCTTCTTTGTAGTTAAGAATGGTCATGTGACTTTACATGGCCAATGACACATAAAGGGGAGTGAGTCTGTTGGCATTATAATTCTTGACTAAATAGACAACGCTTTGCTCCAGGTATTGCAGGAAGGAGTTCTTTGGAAAAGGTGAAGTGCTACTGCTAATGATGGGTACTGTTCTGAAATGGAGGTGGCATAGCCTTCAGGAGCATTGAGTTCCCCTGAGTCTACTACACAGACTGATAAAAATAGCTGGCATCCATTCATGTCACTACCTGCTGCGCACTGTTTTAAATGCAATACAAATGTTAACTCATTTCCTCCTCAGCAAAGGACCAAAAGGCAGGTATTATTATCTCCATTTACAATAACAGAAGTCAAGTACACAAAGTAAGCACCTTGCCCAACATGGATTTTAAGTGGCAGAGGGGATATTAGAACCCAAGTGATCAGACTCTCTGAGACTCTTCATTGTTAGCTACACTTACAAGTATGAGCCCAGGCCAGTCCTGTGAATATAACCTAAGCCATCCCTGCCACACATTGAGCATTTACTATGTGGCAACCCTGGAACTAAGTGCAGTCAGTGTGTGTGTTACTGTGTCCAGTGAAAAGGAAATAGGTGACAGGACTTGTCACATGATTGGTAAGAACTGTGGAGACTAAAGGGGCCTCCACCAGACACCAGATCATGACTCATGGAAACAGGTTGCAGGTCAATTTTCTTTCATTATTAGCCACAGTAAATCACCCGCTCTCAAGGACATTCTTGTCCTCTCCATGGCCACATGTGATAAAGGCCATATGTACCTTACCACAGAGAAAAGCAGGGCATGGAAGGAAACAGAGCTGAGAATCAAGGCCATGATCCCTCGCAGCTAGAACAGATCCTCCTCCCTTGTTTTAGCCTCACAGACCTTCCCTCTGCTCTGGAAGAAGCCACTCAGCTGGATAAAGAGAGATCTCCAAGATGTGCTGTTAAATAAATAATAAAAATTTTAAAAAGCAAAGTGCAGGACAGGGTGTGGAATAGGCTACATTTTGTATAAGGAGGGGAAGATAAAAATAGATAATAGATATTTGTGGGGTTTTTTTTAAACCTTAGAAGGATATGCCAGAAACTAATACAAATGATTACTCAAGAGGAACAAGGTGGGCAGGGGAAAGGGTAAGAGAGACCTGCCAGTGTGTACGTCTATACACATGCACACAGGCATGCACGTGCATAGGCACACACAGAGAATTGATTTTTGAAGCACATTAATGCATGACCTATTTTTAAAAAAGTATCACAAGTAAAAACAAAGCAGGGGTAATGGCAGAGGGTCAGAGAAGGCTTGTGATTGTAGACCTGAATGCATCCATCTGTGGGACTGTAGGATATTGTCCAAATCTCCCACTGGCCTGTGGATTCCTGACGGCAGGCCTAGACCTGCTCTGGCTGCCAGCCAGATGCCAGCATGCAGCTAGTGACTGAGAAATGCTTAAAATGAACGTGAGTAGATTCACCAAGCAACCCACCTAGGCTTGTACCTCAGCTTGCAGCTGGGCTCTGTTTCCATGAAATAAAACTAATGGTTGAGGAGGAAGAGAACACAGCCACCAGTGCAAGAAAAGTGCTCTAAGAAATAGTGCTGAAAGAAAGTGTGCACTGCAGGGATCAGCAAACTTTTTCTGTAAAGGGCCAGAAAGTAAATATTTTAAGTTTGGGGGCCATATGGTCTCGGTTGCAACCACTCAACTCTGCTGTTATAGTGTGAAAGCAGCCACAGATAATACATAACTGAGTGAGCATGGATGGTTGTGCCCCAATAAAACTTTATTCATGGATACTAAAACCTAAAGTTCATACAATTTTACATGCCATGAAATACTTTTTTTAACCACTAAAAAATGCAAACACTATTCTTAGTTCCTGGACCATACAAAAACAGGCAACACGGCACTATGTTGATGTATTTGATGTATGTAGACACTTTCTAAAAGGAGACAGGTCACAGTGGCTGCTTCAATGGAGGGTTCAGGGATGGGAAGGAAGTTGACTTTTTTTACTTTTAAATAATGTACCATGTGCAAATTAATAAAATATTGTTTGAAAGTTAGTACTAAAGAGAGAAAGGAGGCTGTGTATGAAGAGCCCAAGCTCTGGAGTAAGAGACCAGGGACAAAATCCGAACTCTCTTCCTCACTTGCTGTGCATCCAACAGGCAAGTTGTTTTACCCCTCTGAGCCTTAGCACTTTGGGGATTGGTACTGGCCTCATGAGCTGTCGTGAGGATTCCATGGGTTAATCCTTTTGTACTTTGTCAGGCACCTGGACTGTGCTGGCTATTGTTATCTTTCTTATTAAGTCATTCATGGGAAAAAGTCCTTCTCTGAAGGGAAGCCTGAAACATAACTGCAGCAATGAAATTCCCCTTGAAAGCCCGCCCAGTTCCACAGCGAGTCATCCATCTGTCCACATAATAGATGCCTCATGACCTGGGGAAGCTCATTTGTATTAGCAACCACATTCCACAGAGATGCATCCTGGAGCCACGACTGCACATCCTGTTCAACGGAGCTGCTCCC